ATTTCGGTCCCATGTATCTGATTTTTTTGATGATTTCTTTGATGATTTTTGAGTTTTTTTCAACAAGTTTTAAATCAACTTGAATATTTTCAGCACGTTTGTCATTTTGGTCAACAATCTTACTTCAGTATTTTCATTTTTACAGCCTCTGTGATCTCATACTTTACTAAACATCAGCTGTAGGAAGACGTTCCACCATGCTGGATGCATCTTCAACACCTCGTTCCTCTGTTCACTGGTTTTTAAGAAAAGCTGCGTTTATTTTATTGATCCAGTTTTATTTGAATCTCAGTCCCTCTGATCTGCTACCTGCTTGTTTCCTATCAGCTCTGAACAAACGCTGCCTGCAGTTCAAGTGAAGTTCAGAAGTTTAGCCTCAGTTTTGGTTCTACTTCCTGGTTTTGCTCGTTTTAGTCGCGTTTTGCATCAAACAGTGAGTGAACCAGCTCTGATGGACGCACAGGGAACCAGTTACAGATCAAAACGCACTTGATTTTAACTTTGGTAACAACTTTTTATTGCTTTTTTTCACTAAAATGTGCCGTTTTCACTTGTTTGCTCTCCTGGCTGGTGTTAAAGGCGTGTTGGTCGAACTAACTTCTCTCTCTTTGTTTGGTGCTTTAGATCGTAGAGACGTTTGTGGTTCTGGGGCGACTTTGTTCGATCACTTCTAGTTATTTCGGTGTGTTTGTCCTCCGTAGGTCCCGTGGAACCCGGAGGTGGACTTGTGTTGGCACTCGCTGCTCCGCGGAGCTGCAGACGAGTGTGAACCGGAGTGGTGCGACTCGGAGGATCCGCTGTTCATCCTCTACACCAGCGGCTCCACCGGCAAACCGAAGGTACCGAGAACACTCACCTGCAGCACTTGGCAGCTCAATGTGTTTGCATTTTAATAATAAACTACTAAAAAAAACCCAGTTGTCTTAGCTGATAATGAATTTAGTTGATATCAGAAGATGTTCATTGCTGTATCTGGTGATGAACTGAGAATTTAGAACATTTAAAAGAACATTTTTGTCACTAGGAGCTGCATCATCAGTTATTGTGTCTCAAATTATCAAACTTTATGCTCCATCATCTCTGATTTAGCTGATTTTTTTGATCATAAACAAAAGATAGGTTTAAAGATATCTGTGAGACTTTAGCTTCATTTATCAAATACTTTCTGAGATAACTTTCTTCCAAAGAAATCGCCCGTCCACCCACTTTTAGAACATTTTTACGCATGTTAAAACGAGAATATCTCAGGAACTCTTAAAGATAAAAGCCTGGAATTTTCACAGTTAGTTCTCATCATAATATTAATTAAAAATCTGCACTAGTCCACAAGTAGACCTAATAATCTGTGTTTAAGAGTGAGTTGAAATATGAAAAATAAGTCAAAGCTGTGATGAAAAGTCTCATCTTTGAGCTCATATTTGAAAAAAATCAATAATGCAGAAGTCAACCAGTGATTATTTCTGAACCACATGTAGCTGCAGGTCACAATAACACTAAACTACACATATAGAATAGTTTTTAATGTTAAATACTTGGCCACAAAAATTTAAAAAGCTCTTTTTTTTATAACTGATTGAGCAGGTTTGACAAGTTGTAGCCCAACATGTCTGTAGATATTCTGATCCAAGTACATTACCCACATATAAATAACTCCAAATATAACTAAGAATATAAGTATTTTTAATGTGGGTTTATGTTTCTGTCTGGAGAAACAAGCTCCTGGTGATCTCAGATGGAATAACTCACACTGGAAACGTCATCTTATGTGAACTTGAGCTCCATTTCTGTGCAGAAGTTGTGGAAATGTGCACACGTTGCTGATTATTAATTAAAAAAGACTTGGCAGAGGACTGGTTTCATGCTGTGTTTCCTCTGCAGGGCGTCCTTCACACCGTCAGCGGCTACATGCTCTACGCCGCCACCACCTTCAAGCTGGTGTTCGACCACCAGCAGGACGACGTCTACTGGTGCACGGCGGACATCGGCTGGATCACCGGACACTCGTACATCACCTACGGCCCGCTGGCCAACGGGGCCTCCAGCGTCCTGGTGAGGGCAGCCTGAGGGTCCTGATGGGGCTGTAGTTTCTCTGAGGGGCAAATAACTCCAACCAGTGTGGA